TGGCGGGCCCAGGCTGGATTCGAACCCGCCACCTTAGGTGTATGTGGCTGGCGCCTTAGCCACTTGAGCCACAGGCACCAAGCCAAGTCATTGTTTTTCAACCTTTTTTATCTCATGGCACACTTGGACCTATAGTTAAAACTTTCATGCACACAAGTTATGTTTATCAAAAAAAAAGTGAAAGCATATACTTTGCTTTGAACTTCTTTTGAAAACAATTTATGATCTTTAAAAATTTTCATGGTACACCTAAGATCCTCTCATAGCACACTAGTTGGTAAAACATAACTATAGTTCAGAAAGAAGGAGGGAAGAAGAGGGAAAGGGAGGGGAGAGACCAAGAAGAGGGAGGGTATTTGGTGGGACCTCACCTAATGTGCATAATGTAATGATACATTTCAAAACTATTAAGAATAGAGTATGTCTTACTATAACAAATAAGCAAGGTGATGGTTATGTTAATCAGTTAGATGCAAGCATCCCACATTGTATATCAATACATTGTACCCCATAAGTGCATTAATGTACACAGTTATAACTTAATAAAGGAAAAAGGGGGGAAAAAATCACTGCTCTGAGTTTTCGGTCTACAGCTAAAGAGGTTTTCTTATAAAGGAGAACTTTAACCTTTTGACTATGAACAATGCCTATAGGGGTCCAAACAATATGATCCTTTGATGAGAAGGACACCTGCAGGCACATTTTATTTCTGAGTGCTCTGCAGTCAAAGGTTAAAAAGACCTTTCTCCTAAATACTCTTGAGATAATCACAGTCTGATCTGAGTTCATCCCTATAATGTGGAGACCAACAGCCAGTTCTATCTGTGCCTTGAACCTCAGTTCTTCAGACCAGGGCACACAGTCCTTCCTCCCCCACAATTGAACTATCAGTGTTCTCAGTAAATGAGCAAAGTTTTATCACCTACTTTCTCTCCATTATCTTATTAAACTTTTACAATAGCACATGTAGTAAATATTACAGCTCCTGTTCCTGTTTTACAAGGTGGAATTCAAGGGCCAGAGTAAGAGGAGATGTGCCCAAAGTCACAAGTAACAGTTCCTGTAGAGCTCAAACTCAGCATTCACTCTCCAAGTCCTGCTAACTTTGACCACTACCCATGTGGGTAGAGGAGTCATTCATTTCCCCTCTTCTATGCTTCACAGGCTAGAGGCTACACTATACGTGTATATACACATGTACTTTACATAGACGGTGTGACTACTTATCTAGGATAAGTTTACAAACTTATCCTAGAAGAAGTATTTTATACCTCATTGCTAAGTATCACTACTGCCACCTTTGAAGTACTCCCCTTGGCCATCTGGTCACCATAGTGACATTCAGTAGCCCATTTTCTTGGATAAATTCATGAACTTGTCAGAATTTGCACAATGACAACGCTGATGGCCATTCCAGAAAAAGTTTCAAAATTGCTTTCAAGGTTAGACTAGGGGCTGGCATTGGTGCATAGCTTCCTAAGGGGAGCACTGCAAAGGTAACCATAGTGATACTCAGCAATGATGTATGCAGCACTTTTTCTAGGATGTGTTTGCAAATGTAATTGCTTTTTATTAAGTCATATACACATAGATCATGAATACATTTATGCATATAGACAGGTGTGTGGTCTACAGACACATGAAAAAAATGCTTATCTTTCATCATCAGAGAAAAAAAATCAAAAACACTTTGAGATACCATCTAACTCCAGTAAGATTAGCCCACATAACAAAATTCCAAAACTACAGATGTTGGGGTGGGTGTGGAGAAAAGGGAACACTTCTGCACTGCTGGTGGGAATGCAAGCTAATACGTTCCTTTTGGAAAGAAGTTTGGAAAATACTCAGGGATCTAAAAATTGACCTGCTATTGGATCCTGCAATTCCTTTACCAGGAGTATATCAAAAAGACCAAAAGTCACTTTGCAAAAAAGATTTGTACCAGATTATTCATTGCAGCTCAATTCATGATAGCCAAGTCATGGAAAAAGCCCAAGTGCCCATCGACCCATGAATGGATTACTAAATTGTGTTATATGTATACCATGGAATACTATGCAGCCTTACAAAAGATGGAGCCTTTACCTCTTATGTTTACATGGAAGGACCTGGAACATATTCTAATTATCTCAAGAATGGAGGAAAAAGTATCCAATGTACTCAGTACTTCTATGAAACCAACTTATATTTATTCACACTTTCTTATGAAAGAACACAACTATAGCTCAGGATGAAGGAGAGAAATGGAGTGGGAAGGGAGGGGAGGAGGGAGGTTTGATAGAGGGAGGGTAAAAGGTGGGACCACACCTTTGGAGCATATTGCAAGGGTACAAGTCAAATCTGTCAAGTGTAGAACATAAACGTAACACAATAATCAAGTAAATGAGGTGAAAGCTATGTTGATTGGTTTGATGTAACCACTTCAGATTAAAAAAAAAAAAAAAACCCACATTGGACCTTGTTATACTATAATTGCCAGTGAGGATGACCAGAGATTTACTTCTCACAGTGCAGATCCCCCCCTGCAAAGGTAGACACAATTACACAACCAGCAAACACCTCCCCCATTCCCATGAGAACCTGGGACTTGTCCCAAATGTTACCCACTTTTCATCGCATCCTTTGCTTTCTTAAGGAGTGTTGGCAGGTTCATCTCTTCAAAGATGTTAAGAGACATTGCCCAGGCCTGAGGTCCTGTGTAGTACTCGTGCAAGAGGAAGGCTAGACGTTCCACATCGGCACTATCTACTTCAGCCTGTGGAACAGAGCATATTGCTGATTCTGAGGATTTCTCCTTTAGTAGTTCCTTAAATGCCTGAAGTTCTTCCTTGTCTAGCTCTTTGAGGAACCATTGTAGGCCATAGCTGGAAAAAGAGGATAAGTCATCTTCTTCCATCTCGATGCGACGTTGAAAGCACAGGTGTTGATGGAAAAGTGGATTCTTTGGTAAAAGGCAACCAATGAGACCTGTGGGAAGAATGATGAGATGCTCAGTAGAATCTTACAGCAAATTTGCCAGTTCACACAACCAACCTCAATTAACTCGCTAGATGAGCAATGTTCCCTATTCCTTTTCAATTCTTCATAGATAAGACTTTAGCTGCCATGTTATCCATCCTATGACCAGAAAGTACGTTTTGGGATATTTTGTCATCTGTATCCTTAGTTGTCAAAATAGCATCTGGCATAGAATAAGATTCCATATGCATGCTGTGAAATGTTCTTGGCTAAGACATTACTGGAAAGTAGGCTCCCGCCAGTCACTAAGCACAAGTTGCATGGCTTTTAGATTAGTTGATTGTTATTCTGCCTGTTAATATGTAGTATAACATCAATTTACAGAAACATGGTAAACAGTTTTGTTATAAACCAGCAGTTCTCAACCTGTGGGTTGTGACTCACAGGAACTGTATTAAAGGGTTGCAGCATTAGGAAGATCAAGAAGCACTGGTATAAACTAAACTGTTACTCAGAAGCCATCTGTTGAATGTAGATAATAAAAAATTCTCACAAGTGGCTAGGCGCCTATAGCTCAGTGGTTAGGGTACCAGCCACATGCTCTGGGGCTGGTGGGTTTGGACCCGGCCAGGGCCTGCTAAACAAAAGAAAAAAATAGTCAGGTGTTGTGGTAGGTGCCTGTAGTCTCAGCTACTGGGGAGTTGGAGGCAGGAGGATTCAGGAGGATTACTTGAGCTTAAGAGTTTGAGGTTGCTGTGGGATGTGGTACCATGGCACTTTACCAAGGGTGGCAGAGCGAGACTGTCTCAAAAAAATTCTCATAAGGGACAAATAGTAAAGTATAAAAACAATATGAATAGACCTATTTCTCCAAGATATACAAACAACCAATGAGCACATGATAAGATTAATATTATTAGTCACTGGGACAGATTTTATGTTTCTCACCTCCCTAACTCAACCTGTTTTATAGATCCTCAGGTCCTTGCCTGTGGATTCATTCTCAAAGTTGTCCAGAACCTGGTCTATACTGATATAAAAATTAACACTTGCATAGGGAACTTATTTTAAACCCCCCCCCCTTTTTATAGACAGTCTCATTTTATCACCCTTGGTAGAGTGCCGTGGCACAGCAAACTCCAATTCCCAGGCTTAGGCGATTCTCTTGCTTCAGCCTCCCAAGTGGCTGGGACTACAGGTGCCTGCCACAATGCTTGGCTATTTTTTGTTGCAGTTTGGCTGGGGCTGGATTTGAACCTGCCCCCCTTGGTATGTGGGGCCGGCACCCTACTCACTGAGGCACAGGCACCACCCTGTAACTCCTTTTCTTTTTTTTTTATTAAGTCATTTGTACATAGATCATGCATACATTTATGCCATTATGGGATTCAAAGGGTTGATTATTTGTATGAATTGGAGTACTTACATCCTACTAATTAACATAGGCTTCACCTCATTTACCCAATTACCGTGCTAAGACATTTGTGTTCTACACCTGATAGATCCAACTTGTACTTGCAATATGCTCCATAGTGGTCCCCCTATTAACCCTCCCTCTATGGACCCACTCCCCTCCCTTCATCCTAGGTTATAGTTGTGATTCATCTTTCATATGAAAGTGTGAGGGATTATAAATTGGTTTCATAGTGGTACTGAGTACATTGGATATTTTTTCTTCCGTTCCTGAGATACTTTACTAAGAAGAATATTTTCCAGCTACATCCATGTAAACACGAGAGGTAAAGTCTCCATTTTTTTATGCTGCATAGTATTCCATGGTATACATATACCATAATTAACCCCTTTTCAAATAATCTGCTAGACAAAAAAAGCTCTTAAAATTTTAGACACTTTTGAACATCTTTACACTCTCAGATACCATTCAGCAAACATCTATTGGGTTTCTGAGAAGACGATCATTGGCATTTGGGGGGACTGCAATAAACCTATGAATTAGGGAGAATTCAAAACACAGAATTGGTTTTATTGAGAGAAATACTAAGCATCCTCCTTTTTTATTCTTTAGATGTTTCTTTTGCAACATGTTCTCTAACACTGCTAATTATGACTATTCCTATGTATGGATCTTGCAAAGTTGTTGCTACCTTATTCTCAATTTTGACTCCATTTGTTTACTGAAGGAAATAAAAAAACAAAAAAATTAGCACTTGTTGATAATGAGCCAGGAATAATTCCTAAATCCATCACATTTCCCATTTTGTTACAATGTGAACTGTAAATAATGGCAACTGGTACTATTTGGTCATCTTTGTCTGTTCTGCTCTTCTCCAACCATTACTTTGTGGCACAAAGCAATCAAAAGGATACTATATACTAAGACATTTTAAAGACTTATAGATGGCAGCTTACCATTTTCTGAGGAACAATACTGGTGTGGAAGCCACCCTTCCTTGACATCTGTGCTGTCTCAAGCTTGACTTACCAATACATAGTAAGGTCCTGTCTGAATGCCCTCTTGGTGCTGGAATCCACCCAAGTGCCCATTAACACTTGAAGGGATTAATAAACTATGTTATATGTTTACCATGGAGTACTATTCAGCCATAAAAAGATGATGGAAACTTGCATCTTTTGTATTCACCTGGATGAACTGAGAACATTTTCTTAAGTATGTCAGGAATAGAAGAGCAAGAATCCCATGTACTCAGTACTAAGTTGAAAGATTAACAACTATAAATCCACACACAAGAGAAAAATTCTAGAAGCAAGGAGAGAAGAGGGGTGGTAAGTTCCCATCTATACTCAACTAAATAGAGAAATATGGCACACCTCCCAGGTGAAGAACTCAACTGCAACTCAGACTTTATCTTACAAACACAAATATTATGACCTAGTTGTCTGAATGTGCATATCAATCCAAAGGAAAAAATTATGGCCAGGAACTGTGGCTCATGCCTGTAATCCTGGCACTTTGGTGAAAAGATCACTTGAGATTGGGAGTTTCAGACCAGCTTGGGCAACAGAAGGGGGCTCCCAACTCTACAAAAAATACAGTTAGCTGGCTGTAGTGGGGCACAGCTGTAATCTTAGTGACTCAAGAAGCTGGGGCAGGAGGATTGTTTGAGCTCATGAGTGTGAAGTTGCAGTGAAGTATGATGACACCACTGTACTCCAGCCTGAGTAACAGAACAAGACAAGT